TCTCTCTCTCTCTCTCTCTCTCTCTCTCTCTCTCTCTCTCTCTCTCTATCTATCTATCTATCTATCTATCTATCTATCTATCTCTCTACGTCTCACTCTCTCTTACTCTTTTTTTTTATCTCTCTCACACATTTTTTTTTAAATATCTGCTTTTTGCTATGTCTGTCTGTCACTCCATCTGTTCCTTTCTTTATATGAACACATTTCATTTGTTTAGGAATATGCAGGAATTCTATCTCACCCAGCAAAACATATATAGAGGACACTTGCGCTGTTTTATGAAATTGATAGAAAGCGATTACTTTTTGATTGACTCCAACTAATATTTATACACAGAGAGTGCCTTTAACTAATTAACCATACATAAGTACAAATGCAAAGTGCCTGCTTAACTAATGAACAAGAGTCTTAATAATAGAAAAAAAAAAAAAAAAAAAAACCAAAGAATAACCAGAAAAAAAAACAAGAAAAAAATTTTAAAAAAACAGCTCTCCTGTAGTCTCTTTCCCGATTCCAGGCCATTTTGCACACTCATACATAACCATTTCCACTCCTAACGTAACATCACAGAAAATAAATGAAGATATAGCCATAGAATTAAAAGCGCTTATGCCACCAATTCGATTCAAAACATTCTCTGTGATGGCATTTATTATTATTTGATTTTCCTTTATACTTGCTTTAATATGGTTGAGGGTTTTTAATTAATTATGGTAATTGGTTTCTTCTTTAACTTTGCTTAACATAACATAACCTGAAGCCTAACTTCCCAGAAATAATACTTTATGACTTTGAATAATCATTGTATGCTGATAAACCGAACAAAAGTCTATTTGCCTTGTGATTAGTTGTCACGGACAAAAAAATCTATAAACGTGAAAACAAACAAGATAAAAAAAAACAAACGCATCTAGAGTTTTTGAATTTTTGAATTTTTAACAACTTTTTATTTTGTTTAAATTTTCTTTTCTTTCCTTTTTTTTTTTTTTTTTTTTTTTGTTTTAATAATAACAAATGACTGTTAAATTTTAGTAATGTTTTAAGTTAAGTTTGTAAAGATTGCTTTAAAACTTTTATCTCTGTGCTCACAACAGAAATTTACTTAAAAGCCTCCACAAAAAAAAAAAAAAAAAAAAAAAAAATATGCATTTTGGAATTACCGTCCTTTGAAAATTCATACAACAAAATTTTAATGTTTTATGTTTAAACAACAAGCAAGAAAATTATTAAAGGAAAAAAAGCATTAAAAAAAAAAATTAATAAAATGAAATTAA